CTGGAGCAGAATCTGATGTGTTGCCCCTCCCTCTCACTCTTATATTAAAACAGAGTACTTGTACCAGCTGCTTACAAAACACTTTTTAAAGTGATATTAAAGTACTAGGGTCGTTGGTTCGAATCTCAGCCACGGCACCTCCTGCCTAGAGTTTGCATGTTCTCCCTGTGCCTGCGTGGGTTTCCTCCGGGTACTCCGGTTTCCTTCCATACTACAAAGACATGCTAGTAGGTTAATTGGATCCTGTCTAAATTGGCCCTTGTATATGAATGTGAGTTAGGGACTGTTGGTTATGTGTTATAGAAGACACTGGTAGTGATAGCAGAATTCAGGCTTTACTTGTGTGGCTTAAGTTACAAACATACAGAGCACATTTCACAGCAGACATGTTACAGACACATTACTTCCTGAAGAGATGATAGAGAAGAGGAAAGTATCAGCAAGTTTTACACATACACAACTAGTAACCTTTAGCGTACAGTGCCATCTACTGGTCAAGTGATATTAACACAGAAATACTAGTACATTATAGTACATGCTGTTGCATTCCCAACACCCCTTCTCAACGGCATGTGCATAATTATATGACATTTAGTCTCTTTTGTAGAAAACAATGACGTTCCCTTGGCAAAGGTTTGGTGAGTGCGTCTGCAGTCATCTCCTCTGATGGGCAGTACTGGATGTCGATAACCCCTTGTTCTTGCATGTCTCTGAGCAGATGATATCTTACATCAATGTTCTTGTTCTTGGGTTAATCTTCTCAGAGTGTGTAAGCTTTAAGCATCCCTGATTGTCTTCAAAGATGGGTGTGGGTTGTGACATATTCAGTCCCATGTCTAGTAGAAGTTGACGAATCCAAATGGCTTCTTGACATGCATGTGCTGCTGCTATGTATTCCGCTTCAGTTGAAGAGAGTGCAACAGTCACTTGTTTCCGATGGTTTTGCGACCAGGAGGGAGTTCTGTTAGTGACCAAGTTTTATTTTCTTGAAGTGATTTTATTTCTTCTTCAGCTGCTTTTCTCCACTGATCGGCTTCCCTTCTCGGCAAAGTTTCTATGTCTTCCCAGGATGTTGGCTCCTGTGTTTGATGTGTTTTAGCAGCGTATAATAACCTGCAGGGTGGTATCCCTTTTGTCATTCGAGAGGATCTTCTGATTTCTTGTCGTTCAGTGGGTTCTATTGGATCGTTGATTGTAAGTTCCACTTCTTGTTCTGGCTCTTGTCCTGCTTCGCATAAATCAGTGTCTCTTGCCGATTCAGTGTGTAAATCCTATCCACATTTTTCAAAAATTGTATTATCAGGTGCTTCACTTTCATTAAAATAAACACTGCAGCTTACTGTGACCTTGTTGGTCTTTGGACAAAGGATTCTATATCCCTTACTCTGCTCACTGTAGCCGACCAGAATGCCTTCTATGGCTTTGTTCTCCAACTTGGAGCGTTTCTGACTTGGAATGTGGGCATATGCTTTACAGCCAAATACTCTGATATGTCCTACGTTAGGTTTTGATCCATTCCACATTTCATATGGTGTACTCTCAATAGCTTTTGATGGGAGCCTGTTTTGTAGGTATGTTGCAGTCATTATTGCTTCTCCCCAGTATTTGTTAGGTAAGCCAGCGTCTGTAATCATACATCTTGTCATTTCTACAAGAGTGAGATTCTTTCTTTCCACTACACCGTTTTGCTCAGGAGTGTATGGTACGGTTGTTTGGTGTATAATACCTTGTTTCTTTAGGTATGATTTCATCTCTTTATTCATATATTCCCCTCCATTGTCAGTGCGTATTATTCCAGGTTTCCTTTGAAACTTGTTGCTTGTCATAGCTACAAACGCTTGAAATTTTTCTAATGTCTCACTTTTGTGCTTCATTAGATACGTTATTGTGTACCGGGAATAATCATCGATGAAAGTCAGTAAATATCTGTTCCCGCCAGGTGTGATGGTTTTCATTGGTCCGCACACATCACTGTGTATCAGTTCCATGGGTTTAATGGTTTTACTCTGACTGGTCTGTGGAAGAGAGGTTCGGGTGGCCTTTGCTTTGATGCAACACGTGCACTTGCTGAGTTGTGGCAAGGCAATATTTTCATGTCTTCTGATAGACCTCTCTTTGCAAAGTCCTTTATAGCTTCTGGGTTTCGATGCCCCAGTCTTCTATGCCACAGGTGGATGCACTTGTCATGTGGGTTATGAGTTGCCGCATTAGCCTTCTCACTTTCAGTGATGAGTTTGTACAGATGTTCATTTAATCTTCCTCTTGCTAAAATTTGCTTTGCATTTTGAATTGTGCATTCATTACCTCTGAACTGGACAGTGAGTCCATTGCTTGCAAGGGTTTTAACTGATAGGAGGCTTCCTTCTAGGCTTGGAACATATAGAACATTCTTTACAAGGATGCTCTGCTTGCCCCCTGATGGCGTTTTGCAGTTCAGAAATCCCTGACCTTTACCTTCTGCTGTAAAACTTTTCCCATTTGCTAGGAAGACTTTATCTTTTACACTAAAATCAATTTCTGTGAAGAATGTCTCGTCGCTTGTCATGTGACTTTTTGCCCCTGAATCAATGTACCATCCGTGTGAGGTACTATTCTGAGTCACTTTAAAAGTACCACTCCATGATGCACTTTAATTTTCTTTCATGACTGCTTTAGCTCTTTCTCTTGTGGGTAGCTCCCGCTTTCGCTGCTCAGCTTTCCAGATTGAACAGTTCTTTTTCAGGTGACCGGCCTTTTTGCAGCGAAAACATACCCTGGTTTCTTTGCTTTGTCTTATGCCTTCATGCACCTTCAGAGCTGCCTCTGGTCTCTCGTTCTCTTCACTATGCAAATTTTCCTTTCTTCTGCTGTATTCATCAATTAATTTTCCCTTAACATATTCTAGCGTCAGTTCAGTTTCCGGTCTAGTTTCTAGAGCATTTATAAGGGCACTGTATGATTCTGGAAGGCTGCACAGAAGTATTGACAGAACATGGTTGCTTTTTAATTCTTCACCTATTGCACCCAGCTGGTCCACAATTTCTAGCATAGCATTTACATGTTCACCCATTTCCTGCCCTTTTTCCAGCCTCTTCTTATACAGTTTACGCAGTAGATATAGTTTACTGTTTAGGTTTGCACGTTCATGCAGCTTTTGTAATGCAGTCCACATACCTTTAGCTGTGCTTTCTTTCCTTATATGAATGAGTTGATCATCCTCCACTAACAGGCTTATGACTGCTTTTTGCTTGCCTGTTTTTTTCTGTCCCATTCTTCTGGGTTGTCATTGGGTCTGTGTGTATCTAGTACCTGCCACAAGTCATCTTTGGATAACAGCATTTCAAGCTTAAACTTCCATAGCTGGTAGTTGGTGTTGTTGAGCTTTGCTATTGTAAACTTCATATCTGAAGCACTTGCCATCTTTCAGTGAATTGGATTGTAAATGCAGCACTTACTTGCTTGTAGTTTTCCTTTTTCCAGTGTCTGGAGCTGGGCCCATAACCTGTTGGTTATGTGTTATAGAAGACACTGGTAGTGATAGCAGAATTCAGGCTTTACTTGTGTGGCTTAAGTTACAAACATACAGAGCACATTGCAGCAGACATATTACAGACACATTACTTCCTGAAGAGATGATAGAGAAGAGGAAAGAAGCAGCAAGTTTTACACATACACAACTAGTAACCTTTAGCGTACAGTGCCATCTACTGGTCAAGTGATATTAACACAGAAATACTATATAGTACATTATAGTACATGCTGTTGCATTCCCAACAGGGACCTTAGATTGTATGCCCCTTGAGGATTAGGGACTGATGTGAATGTACAATATATATGTAAAGCGCTCTGTAAATTGACAGCACTATATAATTATCTGAAATAAATAAAGTGATACTAAAGCTCGTTTTTTTTTTTGTTTTTTTTTAATAAAATAACAAACACGTCATACTTACCTGTTCTGTGCAGTATTTTAGCATGCAGCGATCCTCTTTTTTTTCTGGCCCCTCACCGCTGCCACTCCCGCCTCCTCCTCCTCGAGCAGTGCCCCCAGAGAAAGCTGCTTGCCCCTGGGTGCACTGCTGCGTGCTCACTCATGAGATGCTGCTCTATGCATGCATAAAATACATAGAACCACGCCTCGCCCCCCCCCCCCCCCCCAGCTCTCTCCTTATTGACTCACTTGCTGTAATTGACATCAGTGGGAGCGAATTGGCTCCCGCTGCTATCTCAGCCAATGAAAAGGGAGAGTTCCCCATACAGCCGAGGCTATCATGAAAATTGCTGGATTGGAGGGGGCTCAGGTAGGGATTGGGGGGGGGGGGAGTGCTGCACACAAGATTTTTTACCTTCATGCAAAGAATGCATAAAGGTAAAAAAACCTTCAGCCTTTAAAGCCACTTTAAACCCTTTTTAACCACTTGCCTACCGGGCACTTATACCCCCTTCCTTACCAGGCCAATTTTCAGCTTTCAGCGCTGCCACACTTTGATTGACAATTGCGCGGTCATGCAACATTGTACCCATATGAAATTTTGATCATTTTTTCCTCACAAATAGAGCTTTCTTTTGGTGGTATTTACTCCCCACTGGGCACTTTACTTTTTGCGCTATAAATAAAAAAGTGCAAAAAATTTGAAAAAAAAAAAGTTTCTTTGTTTCTATTATAAAATTTTTCAAACAGGCATTTTTTCTCCTTCACTGATGTGCGTTGATGAGGCAGCACTGATGGGCACTGATAGGCGGCAGTGATGGGCACTGATAGGCAGCACTAAAGGGCACTGACTGATAGGCAGTACTAATGAGGTGTCACGGATAGGCGGCACTGATAGACAGCACTAATGAGGTGTCACGGATAGGCGGCACTAATATGCAGCACTGATAGGCGGCACTGATAGGTGACACTGATGATGGGTACTGATAGACGGCACTGACTGGCATCACTGCTGGGCACTGACTGGTGGCACTGACTGACACAACCCCTGGGCACTGACTGGCAGCACTGCTGGGCTGCACTGGTGGGTGGGCACAGGTGGGTGGCACTGGTGGGCACAGGTGGGTGGCACTGCTGGGCGCATGTAGGTGGCACTTCTGGGCACAGGTAGGTGGCACTGCAGAGTGGCACAGGTGGGTGCACTGCTGGGCACAGGTGGGTGCACTGCTGGGCACAGGTGGATGCACTGCTGGGCACGGGTGGGCGGAGCTAGTGGGCGCACTGCTGGGCGGAACTTGCGGGTGGCACTGCTGGGCACCGATCATCAGGGCACTGATCATCAGTGCCCTGATGATCGGTGCCGATCCCCGCTCTGACAACTGCCGGTTCTCGGCAGTACTTTCCTCACGATCTGACAGTGTGAGGAAAGTGCAGCCGAGAACCGGCACTTGCATTTCCCTCTGATCAGCGTGTCATTGGACACCGCTGATCAGGTGGTAAAAGGCCGCTGTGATTGGCCTTTTACCACATCACGTGGTAGGACACAGCGATCACGGAGATCGCCGGGTGCGCGCCCCCTGGGGCGCGCAGGAGAGCGCGTTCTGGGAGGACGTCATATGACGTCCACCCAGAACTGGCCGGGCCGCGGCGAAGCCGTCATTTGGCTATGCGCGGTCGGCAAGAGGTTAATCACTTTCAGCAGCTGATTTACTGAGTATGCAGATTGTTTATCTTTTAATCATTGCCTATGTTCTGGTTTAACCACTTGCCCTCCGGAAAATTTACCCCCTTAATGACCAGGCCATTTTTTGCTATTTGGCACTGCGCTATTTCAACTGGTAATTGTGTGGTCATGCAATGCTGTACCCAAAAGAAATCTATGTCCTTTTTTCACACACGTAGAGCTTTCTTTAGGTGGTATTTGATCACCAATGGGGGGTTTTTTTGTGATATAAACGAAAAAAGACCAAATATTTTGAAAAAAAAAAATATTTTTTACTTTAGGTTATAAAAAATATATAATAAACTCAAAGTTAGTCATAAATTTAGGCCAAAATGTATTCTGCTACATGTCTTTAGTAAAATCAAATCCCAATACATGTATACTAATTGGTTTGTGTGAAAGTTATAGCGTCTACAAACTATTGTATTTATATTTATGTATATATATTGGAATTTAAGCAGCTTTTACTTTCTGACTGCCTATCACTTTTCTTGAGGTGCTAAAATGCCAGGGCAGTACAAAAAAAAGTAGACACCCCAAGGAATCTGCTGAGAGGCATATTGAGTCCACGGAACATTTTATTTTTTGCCACAAATTTTTGGAAAATTAAATGATATATTGCTCACACACATGTCATGGGTATATATGGAATAACATCCCAAAACACATTCTGCTACTTCTCCCAAGTATGGGCATTCCACATATGAGAGACTTTTTGGCAGCCTAGCCTTATACATGCCCCCAAAATCCAATGACCACCTCCAGGCTTTCAAAGGGCATATTTCCTCATATCACTTCCCCACTACTTATCACAGTTTCAGGGGCCCTAAAATGCCAGGATAGTACAAACATCCCCCCTAAATGACCCTTTTTTTTGAAAGTAGACACCCTAAGGAATTTGATAAGTAGGCACTGTGAGTATTTTGTAGATATTATTTTTTCTCACAGGGTTTTGAAAAAGAATAAAAGAAAAGAAAAAATACATTTTCTTTTTCTTTCTTTGTTTTCCAAAACCTTGTGGCAACAAATAAGATCTGCAAAATACTCATCATGCCTCTTAGCAAATAACTTGGAGTGTCTACTTTCCAAAAAGGGGTCATTTGGGGGGGGGGGGTGTGCTTCTACTTTCCTGGAATTTTATGCTCAACAAAAGAAGATTATGCCACACATCACCCACTCTTCTAACCACTTAAAGACCTAGCCTTTATTACCACTTTTTGTTTATTTGAAAAAACATTTTTTTTGCTAGAAAATTACTTTGAACCCCCCAACACATTATATATATTTTTTTTAAAGTAGATGCCCTAGAGAATAAAATGGTGGGTGTTGAAATTTTTTTATGTTACACAGTATTTACATAGTAATTTTTCAAAAGCAAATTTTTGGGAAAAAATACACTTTTTAGAATTTTAATGCTCAAAAACACAATATATTGCCCAACTATTTGATAAAGTATAAAAAGATGATGTTACACCGAGTAAATGGATACCAAACATGACATGCTTTAAAATTGCGCATGACCATGCAACGGCGACATTCAAAAATCACAAGTGAGCTCTTGGTTTTTTATCTGCTTGCATAAAGGTGAAAACCTCTTACCCTCTAAAAAAATATATATACAGATATGCAGCGCTGAGAAAAGGACAAATGATTTAAAGTGACTGGTGCAAGCGTTTTATAGCGCTATAGGTGAAAAATTAGTATGACGTGAATCGTCCAATGATAAAGTATCAGCAAAATGGAAACAAATAAATATAATAAATATAAATATAAAGTGACTTGAGTGATTTGTTGAATTATTGACATATAACAATGGAATAGATAAAGTTCAACAATCAGGTGATGCGTTTCGGTGAAATCCATGACTGGAACTGATAATGCGATTGCATTCACCAGAAGCTCAAAATTAAAGCGCATGTGTGTATATATTATACCTTTGTGGTCATCTGGGTATGGGTAAAGATGGTGAAAATCATCTGGCACACGGTCGGCATGCTAGGACCTCTCTCACAGGACCCTCTCAGCATCCAGGCACATCTCCTCAGAACTTTCAAACCCCCAGATAAAACTCAGGAAAAACGGATCTCTCCACCTTAGGGGCTCGTTAGTAACAAGCTAGAGAATAAAGTGCTGATAGTGTAGTATTTTTATTTATAATGGGAATACACCACAGGCAACCTGCACGGCAGCACCACCACCCAAGCAGCTGTGCCCCCACGGCAGCACCACCATTCAGGCAGCTGCGGCCCCCAGCAGGCCCCCACACAGCATCACCACTATATCAACCTCCCGGCCTTTTACAACCACACCACCTGGGGACACCACTCCGTGGCCTGGCGCGGCCGCACACACCCGCAGTCCCCCCACCTCACGGACACCCTAGCGGGCTCCCTGGCCCTCTCTGCCGGAACCAAGAGCCACCCCTGCAAGACCAGGCTGCCGTAGCCCCCGACAGGATCGAGCACGGCATCACCACCACCCGACCCCCCCGCACCACTCGTGGCCACTACCCCACAGCCTGGCGCGGCCACTCAACCTAAGGCTCAGGCGCCCAGGCCTCCACCCGGACAGCAGCGAACCCCCAAGGCTGCCTACAGCGTCCCTGCATCTGCCAACTCTCATCCTTCCACCTGGGACCTCCACTTGGACCCTGACCCTGGCCAAGCAAGTCTCCGCAAGAGCATGCGCACCCTCCCACAAGATACAGCCACATAACGCTCCTGATCCGACCACCCAAACACCACTCATGCCGACCCCAACCCAGCTTGACCCAGAGGACAAGAAACAACTGCACAATGCTCCAGATCCGACCACCCTAAGACCACTCACACCGACCCTAGCTCAACTTGACCTAAAGACTAGAACCCTAGATGTAAGACACCACAACGAGAAACCCCACTGCACGCCAGACTGTCTCAAACCAAGCGCCCCTGGCAACCATCCATCCACACCCGATCCCCTCTCCCTGCTCCCCTAAACTCCAGCTACCGGAAGACACAGCGACGAGAAACGTAACTGCACGCTGGACTATCGGCAGCCAAGCCTCCCACCACTCCTGTCCGCCACCCCGTGCACCTCCCTAAAATGCCTCTTCCACTCCTCTTCTCATATTCCTCTCCTCCGTTCCCAAAATCTATTCTCTATACCCCTCTGCTCCTCCCAAACAACTATATATTGTGTCCTCACTGCTTCCTTCGCCCCTCTATGGCACCCACCACCTCCTCCTAATACTCCACTCTCCCACTGACCCGAACACCTCCACTGGTAGACTTACACGCTCCTGCACATCCCGCTCCCATGCCACCTTTTTCACCCTTCTTCTCCTCCTAACCGCGGGGGACATCTCCCCGAACCCTGGCCCTCCACCATCTCGCTCACCCACACAGCACCCTCCCGCTTCCACATCCTGCCGCAACCCCCTCAACCTAGTATCTGTCCCCCTGCTCCCTAAAACCACCCCCCGTTTTTGTGTGCACTCCTGAACGCCCGATCGGTGTGCAACAAGCTTACCGCCATCCACGACCTCTTTGTTTCCCGCTCCCTCAACCTCCTAGTGATCACGGAAACCTGGATCCAGGCCACTGACTCTACCTCCCCTGTTGCACTCTCCTATGAAAGTCTCATCTGGACCCACTCACCCAGACCCAACAGTCGTAAAGGTGGTGGGGTTGGTTTGCCCCTGTCACCGCAGAGCACCTTCCGAGTCCTCGCAAACCCCCCCTCTCTATCCTTCTCCTCCTTCGAGCCCCACTGCATCCGACTATTCTCCCTAACCCCCCTGAAGATTGCCGTAATCTACCGGCCTCCTGGACCAATATCCCGCTTCCTTGATGACTTTTCCACCTGGCCAACCTTCTTTCTCTCCTCCGAGCTACCCACCATCATCCTTGGGGATTTCAACATCCCTGTCAACATCGACAATACGGCCACATCCCAACTCCTCCATTTAACCTCCTCCTTTGCACTCGCACAGTGCATACAATCCACCACCCACTCCGACGGAAATATCCTGGACCTGGTCTTCTCCCACCTCTGTGCTTCCCACAACCTCACAAACACCTCCTTCCCTCTCTCTGACCACAACCTTATTACCTTCTCTGTCTCCTTGTCCTCTAACGCCTACCCCTCCAAATGTCATTTACTACCAGCCGAAACCTCCGCAACCTGAACCCTGCCCCCCTCCACTCTGCAGCTGATCAACTCCACGACAGCATCTTCCCCCTGTCCTGCCCCGACCTGGCTATGACTGCCTATAACAACTCACTGTCAACCGCCCTTGACTCACTAGCACTTTTAACCACACGAAACATCAGACCCCGACCGCTCCAGCCCTGGCAGACTGATCACACCAAAACTCTCAAACGACACAGTCGTGCCCTGGAGCGACTATGGCGCAAAACCAGATCCCAACAAGCCTTCACCCGCTATAAATGTGCCTTCCCCACCTACACCTCCTCCCTCCATGCTGCCAAACAAGCCTACTTCCTGACCCTCATCAAGACTCTCTCCTCCAATCCTTGCCGACTCTTCTCCACCTTTAACTCTCTGCTCTCTCCGCCCCCACCTCCACCCAGCACCTCACTTACCGCCCTTGAGATTGCCAATCACTTAAAAAACAAGATTGACACAATTCGCAGGGACATCACCGCTGCTCAAACTCCCTCCCAAACCCGTCCCCCCTCACACAGCTACCCCCTCATCACCCCTCTCCCTCGGCTTTGCCATTGCT